CTCGGAAGCATTAAAACAGCAATAGCACAAAAATATAGTCTAAAATAAGGAAACTTTCCCGTGATCGAGGTATGAACTACTGCAGCAAGAATATTCGAACCCATGATGTGACAACGTCCACATTAGTTCTGGTAGTGTGCAAATAGCACCTAAAATAATGAACACTGCTAACATTCCACTTCAAGCCACCAAATGAGGTCTAAGTTCGAACTTTTCTCTGCTCGCCATGACATAGCTGGTACTAAAGATGAACACGAGTTTACATGAAAATTGCAGACTCGGTTTGATTGGTCTGTACATACAGGATAATGAAAAGTGTAACATCCCTCATGCTCCCTAGCACCAGCTTGAGCGGTACTCAATTAACCAAAGTTAAAAGTGCTGGACTCAATGATCCCGAAACACCAGAAAAAAAGTATAACTACACTGAAGTAAAGTACGGGGCAACGTTTTACGTCTGCCACACATTAATTGACACCTGCTGTTGTGATGTATAAATATCTGGAGAAAAGTGATCCCTTTAAAGCATTGAAAACAGCATAATTACATGAAATTGCAGACTCGGTTTCCATTTTATTTAGTTCCGCTCATTGTTTTCTCGTTTAGGGCAAAAACGTTCTTTTACTAGGGGACCATACGCCGCTTTTCATGGAATTGCACTACTGTGTCACATTGAAGGTTCCGTGATATCGCCGTTTGAACATATCTGCGGATGTTTCTTAATTCAAAATATTACCATTTTCGTGTTAAATGTTAAATTCTGCTTAAGTTGGTGCTTGTGGGGAGGGGGGGGGGGCGTGGACGATAACTTGCACTTTCCAGTACCGTCCATGAACAGGCTCAATCAAACCGAGCGAGCCTGCAACATTTACAATTTTGTTGTGTTGAACTTTTTTTAGGGGTACTGTTTTCCTCTATTCTATTTGATAATAAACCTTTGATCGGACCCGAGTGCTCTAGGTCAAGCTAAAATTAACATATCATACTGAATGAAAAAATAATCGTTCAGCAGAAAATAAAACAAAACTACAAAACACTAGTAAAAATAAAGAAATAGAGAAAATAATGCAAACAAACTAAGAACTATGCATAGAAAAAAATCCAAAACAAAATTGGAATTTTCTTAAAAAACTTAAACCTAAAACGAGAAACGAAAAGTCTCCGTCAATAACTGAGTTTTCCGACTTTTTCAAAAATAATAATACGAATCCCCATATTAATGATGAAAATGACGTGTTTTTGTCATATGATTTTCTTGAAAATTCAAACCAATACCTAGATGAACCTATAACAGATGCTGAAATCCTTAACTTAACAACGGGAAAGCCTGCAGTCCCTCCGATGACAATTTAAATGAATACATAGAAGCTACTGAAGCTCTTCTGATACCTATTTATAATAAGTTGTTTAATGCAGTTTTACACATTGGTTTATTACCAAAGTCATGGCTTGATAAATACATAATACGTATTTATAAAAACAAGGGTAACCCAAAGGATACAAGATAAACACCAATCACTATCTTATCATGTCTTGGTAAACTTTTTTTTACATCTGTTATTTACTTACGGCTAACAAGCTATATAGAAAATACTGAACTACTTGAAATGAAAATCAAGCAGGTTTTTACTCCTGTCCAGATCATACTTTTACGTTGTATGCACTAACTGAAATACTTAAAAAGAGAAAAAAGAAACTTTTTCGTATTGCATTCGTAAATTTCTTGAAATTTTTTGACAAAATTTGGCGTTTTGGACTTTTGCATAAACTCACTCAAAATCTCATAGATGGTAAATTATTTAGAGTCATGTACCAAAACATAAAGTCATGTGTTTCTCATAACGGAAACACGTCCCACTTCTTCTCCTTAAAAATACGCGTTAGACAAGAGAAAAAAAAAGTCCGACCCTCTTCTCTCTCTACTTGAATGACCTACAATCCTATTTGGAAGGTAAGAGCTAAATGACGTTTTCAGTGACAAAATTCAGCTTAAACTCTTGATTTTCCTCTACGCAGACTATACTGTTATAGTTTCGTATTATCCCTCTGACTTTCAAAAGATTTTAAATAATTTTAACGAGTATTGTGATCAATGGAAATTAAAAGTAAATCCTAATAAAACAAGTCTTAATATTTTGATGTAAAAACCATAATAACTATACTTTACCTTAGAAGAACATTATGGTTCTGATATATTCAGTTGTGAAAATCTTGATCTGTTAGAGTACACAACACCTTCCTAAGACGCTTAACTTATGCTACATGGAGAACTGGGCTGATACCCAATTTATTTAATCGTTTACACAAAATGATATCTTTCTGGACACGTCTGCTACTTGGTAAAGAAAATGAACTATCTTCCAAAATCTATAAAATGCATACTTAGCCAAACAAACAATAATTTTAAATGGACTAATGAATTAAAGAAACATTGACGCAAAATTTGGAGACCTGATATTGGGCTAAAACAATACTTCATTATCAAATATTTGCATATAACTTTCAAGCAAATTGTAATAGACCAATATAAACAACATTGGGCAATTCAGCTACAATATTCGAATAAAGGGAGAATTTATAATCTATTTAAATATGTACTAGAATATAAGAAATATTTTAGCATTCTGCAGAAAAAAAGATAACATTACACTATTCAAATTTAGAACTTGTAATAACCGTCTTCCAAAAGAGACAGCGCGATGGTCTCGTTATAACACAACAAATAACATTTGCAAGCTTATGAACTCTAGATTAAAAAGGTTCTGAATCGTTATTTATTAAAATGTCAATTTTTTAATTCTGAAAGAAATCTGTACATCCCCGACTTAGTCGAAACTTCCAACTTTTCAAATTATACTATCATGTAAAAATGAATATACTCCAATTAAGTTGTGTTTGTATGCATAAAATATTCCAAAATTTCAAGGCATGCCATAAGATGTATATAATTATTATTCTTGTTCTTGTTATGATATCTCACCACGTGTGTGTAGATATGAACATATGTCCTTAGTTTTTTTTTGTTTGAAAATAAAGTTGGTACCTGTTTCATAGTTCAAATTAGTATTTCAAGTAAAAAAAATGCTGTATTTACCTGTGTGTGAAAATCCAGCACGAGTCGTCAGTATTTGTATTTATGCATTTATGACTTATTTTTTTCTCTCTTAGCAGTGAAGAACTACTTTCTTAAAAATCACAATGACTGACCAGAAAATTCATTCATAATTGATTGAAAACGCCGTGTAATTGTGCCAATTACTACTTAGAATGCAGCGACGTACCTTTGGACGAACATTTTCTTATATTTTGATGTTTTTTTTAATCACTATTGTTTTAATTTTCCCCCTAATATGTCATATTTCAGCTGTATTCCTTCTTCTTTAAATATCTGTGTTAAGAGTCCCCCCACAATCCGATCGATACTCTTATGTTTATGTTATAGACCTGCTTTTTAACACCGTACTCAATTATAGCGACAATATATTGATGATTCTTACATTGTATGCTTTGATAAACCTGAGTGAAATAAAGTTACCTGTCTGTTTGTTTGTCTGTCTGTGTGACTTTTGCAAATATTAATAAAGTGATTACATGTGCTACAAGTTGAAAACAAAAAATATTTTTACTATGTTAAAGGCAAAAACTTTTCAAATACTAAGTAAATCCACAAGCGAACCCCAAGGTACATAAGTACACATGCTGACCAACATTCTTGAAAACTTTCAGGCCTACAGGTCAAATACTTTGAGCTATGCATTAAAAAGTTGAAAATTACAAATTAATTCAAGAGCAATAACTCTAACAAAACTGAAAAAAATTCCACAGCAAAATCCCAGGAGCATAGCTTCACAATAATGTTGATCATTATTCCAGTAAAATTGGTTGATTCTTACTCAAACACTCAAGGAACAAATAACACAACATAATAATAACGGTTTTTACTAAGTCAAAGGCAATAACTCTACAAATACTGGATAAGTCCACAAGCGAAACCCAAGGTGCACAACAACGCATACTGACCAACATTCCTGTTAAGTTTGATGACTCTAGGTTTAATAAATACATTTTGACCTACGAACAACACAAATTGAAAATTGCAAATTTTCACTAAGTCAAGGGCAATAACTCTGACAAAACATATAAATTGAACAAGCCAAACACTAGGTGCACAACTCCACATGCTGATCAACGTTCCTGTAAAGTTTCATGATCCTATGTCAAATACTCTTTGAGCTACGTGCGACAGAAGTTGAAAATTGCAAATTTTTACTATGTCAAGGGTAATAATTTTGACAAAACAGAATGAATCCTTAAGCAAAACCCCAGGTGCACAACTTCACATGCTGAGCAAAACTCGTGTAAGGATTCAGGACACTAGGTCACATTCTTTTTGAGTTACATGCGACACAATTGGAAAATTGCAAATATGTACTTAGTCAAGGGCAATTACTCTTAACATACTAAAACATTCCACACGAAAATACCAAGGTGCACAACAACAAATGGTGATCAACATTCTTGTCAAGTTTCATGACTCTAGGTCAAATACTTTTTCAGCTACGTGCGACACAAATAAGAACGAATTGGCGGATGGACGGCCGGACAAGGGTAAAACTAAATGCGCCCCCCCCCCCCCAAAAAAAAAGTAGGGTAACCGAAAGAACTTAAATTGTTTGATCCGAAAGCACTTAAATTGTTTGATCCGGAACATATTATTCTGTTTACATGCAATATCCATAATTGCTTAATATAAGAGACATTCTATATTAAAACTCTTTCGGAAAGACTGCCGTATAAAGATTTTATAGAACGTTTTCATAAGATATAGCTTTATACCAAATAAGTGTGTACCCTCACAAATTCATTCATGAATAAATACCATTACATTTCATTTTACAATGGTTACTTATTCTAACTACAGTTTTATTCCTTTTAATAAGCCAAATGAAGATTTACTGTTATTAAAAGTTTGTGACGAATATTTTTATTTATATTTTCAGATTCCAAGTCCATGTGAAATAACAAAGTTACGCTCAAAGGAATAATAGATGAACGCTTCATCTTAAAAAAATACGATAGACAACAGAACCTTGGATGTTCGGCTTTATTCATTGGAATCTATAACTGTAACATTTTTTGTACGTGGGGAAAGTGTTTGTTTTAATTCGGAAACGACTGAACTTAAAGCGATAAATAATATTTGCACGATGGAAATGAGCGGCAATGACTGTATTACTCATTCCTTTCCAATAATGTGACGACAATGCTTTAAAAATTCTCTAGATTTTTTGATAATGAGGCAATAGATACTCGAATTACTTCAACATCAGAACCTGATGTATGCACACTTTCTTTAACAACACATCATTTTATACTGAATCAAGAAGCAATGAGCAAGCTGGTGATAATAATGGAAAAGGCTATGGATACTGGAGCGTAGAATGCCATGTTCATTGAATAGACAGGATGTGACTTTCAGTTGAATTGATAAGGTACAATTTGTAGTTCTTATTTTCTCTCAACCGGAAATGCATGTCTCATTTTTTTAGTTTATCTTTTCTTTTTAATCGCTTTAGAATCACGTAGATGACTTACTTATTACCTGTCATATAGTTCCCTGTCATGTCGATATGTCACTTTAATGTTGGGAGATATGCGTTAATTGAATGCCACCCTTCCTTGTTCATGCTCACTACATTTGACATCATATCCTACAGACTAAAGACACGGCCCATCAACTATTCATCTCCCAACTACACGTCTTTTGAAAGTGAATCTGTTACAAATGTTTTGAAAACAAATGCTACCGAGTGCATTTGAAATAAAAAATAAAAACGGTGTAAATTGTACCCTTTTTATACGTCTAATGAAATGTGTGGCTATGATGAATATACTTTCTACAGAAAAGGTTAATTTCAATGGAAAAACATATTGTGTACTCTTCTTTTTCTCATTAACTACACATTCTGTTAAACATGTCTCTTTGTATTGATATATACATGTATTTGAATAGTAATGTTACATAAACCGCAAGATGTAAAAGCAGTCCTTATTTTTCTCATGGCTCATAATCTTGTACGTGATAAAGCCGCTTCACTGTATAGCTTATTACTCAAGCTGAAAACCAAAATGTCTCAAATATAATAAGGAAATAAAAACTATTGTTGATAACAATAAAAAGCCTCATACCATTATTATTTCCTTACCGGTTTAAACGAAGGGGGCTTTAGGTTCACCCTCTGTCCGTCTGTTTGTCCATCCGTCTGTCCACAAAATTTGGCTATTTTGCTTTGGCAATAAGGTAGACTTAAAACATGGCAATATAACACAAACATCAGCCTTTATTTGTTGTCAACGCTAGACTGTTTTACTTTTTATACGCCCGTTTGAAACACGGGACGTATTATGGGAACGCCCCTGGCGGGCGGACGGCGTCCAATTTTGTCCGGAGCATATCTCCTACATGTATGGAGGGATTTTAATGAAACTTCATAGAAATGTTCACCATTATGAGGAGCAGTGTCGCGCACATGAACCAGGTCTCTAGGTCAAAGGTCAAGGTCACACTTAGAGCTCATTGAAAAATGCTTGTCCGGAGCAAAACTTACACATGTATAGAGGGATTTCAATATTACTTGGCACAAATGTTCACCATTGTGAGGCGGAGTGTCGCGTGCAAGATTCAGGTCCTTGCGGCCAAGGTCAAGGTCACACATAGAGGTCAAAGTTCAGATAAAAATATGAAGATGTGTATATGGACCATTTAGTCATCATTTATTGAGGGATTGTAACACAAATGGTCATTATCAAGACTATGGCTGTGATACATATAATTTAGGTCAATATATACAAGGTCAAGGTCACTAAAGATGATTTAATTTCCAGATTTTGTAAATAGAATTTAATCAAAGGCCGACAACAAAGTTATTACTTTGTTCATAAATGACTTACACAATTACTTCCCTTGATCTACTTTCACTTTCAATTCTAAAAGTAGAATTTAATCGAAGGGCATGAAATAATCCTCTTTCTTGTTCGTGAGTATGTTCTAAAGAATGTAACATTTATTTACACATGTTTCATTCATTGGTCAAGATTCTTAACTGTGATAACTATGGTGTTCTGTAGACTTGGTATTTGTTCATAAAGATCATACAGTAATTACCTTATCAAATGTAAATACTTTCTCATAGAAATTTAATTATATTTTAATTTTCAAGTAAATATCAGTTCAGCTCATTCAAAGATTAAGAATTGTAATGAAATGTATTTCCCTAGAATAAAATCTTAAATCAGAATTTTTTAGTTATTAAATTACAATTACATGTACTTTTTATAGCCCGTTTAAAAAAGATAAAAATATGAAGATGTGTATAGGGACGATTTAATCAACATTTATTGAGGGATTGTAACACAAATGGTCATTATAATGACTACGGCTGTGACACATGTACTTTAGGTCAATATATGCAAGGTCAAGGTCACTAAAGATGGTGAAATATCCAGATTTTGTCTGGAGCATATCTCCTACATGTATGGAAGAACTTTAATAATACTTTATGGAAATGTTCACCACCATGATATGTATTGCTCCATGCATGATCCAGGTCTCCAGGTCAAAGGTCAAGGTCACACTTAGAGCTCATTGAAAAACGCTTGTCCGGAGCAAAACTTCTACATTCATAGGGGGTTTTCAATATAACTTGGCACAAATGTTCACCATTGTGAGGCTGAGTGTCGCATGCAAAATTCAGATCCCTGCGACCAAAGTCAACGTTACACATAGAGGTCAAAGTTCAGATAAAAATTTGAAGATGGTTATAGGGACCATTTAGTCATCATTTATTGATGGATTGTAGCACAAATGGTAACTATCATGACTACAGGGGGGACACATTTAATTTAGGTTAATATTTGCAAGGTCAAGGTCACTGGAGGTGCTTAAATATCCAGATGTTGTCCGGAGCATATTTTCTACATGCATGGAGGAATTTTAATGTTACTTTTATAGAATTGTTCACCACCATGAGACGTAGTGCCCTGCACATAAACCAAGTCTCTAGGTCAAAGGTGAAGGTCACAGTTAGAGCTCATAGAAAAACACTTGTCTGGAGCAAAACTTCTACATGCATAGAGGGATTTCAATATAATTTGGCATAAATGTTCATCATTGTGAGGCTGAGTGCCGTGCATAAAATTCAGGTCCCTGCGACCAAGGTCAAGGTCACACATCCTGTGCATATCTTCCCTACTGATTTGTTTTAAGGTTCATTTAACAACACAGTGCCAAGAATAAAAACTTGCTTGCTAGATAACACTTATCCATAATGCCCCCATCTCCATCTTAAGCTTTCTTAAACGGGCGTATTTTGTGACTATGGCACCCTTGTTCTTTAAGTAAACAAATTATCGGTTTAAACATTCTTTTAAAAGAAGATTTAAGATGTAAGATAAAAATCATTTCAATAAATAAAGTTTAAAAAAATATAAACAAAATTCAATCATTTGACTGTCTAGGTTATTTAAAGGTTCGTGTCATATCTATATCATTCAACTTGTCCGCTTGGTCACAAGAGTTGCTTTGTCCACATATGAATAAAAAAATTACATTAATAACAAAATTATGACAAATTTATCAACATTAGATAATTTGACCGTGATGGTCAAGGTCATTTAAAGCTGATTGTCAAGGTAAGTTCAACCTTTAAAGGGTTTTTTCAAAAAAGTTGTTTTGTCCGTAAGCAAATTTACATTGATTGATGGCCAAGTTTCATTAAGGTATAGCAAAATCAGTGAAAATCAATTACTTGACCTCTGAGGTCAAGGTCATACATGAGTCAATGTGGCAAGTCTTCTTTTGTCCAAGTATCAACGAAATCTGACAAGAAAAACAAAATAATGACAATTTTACAAAAATTCAATAATTATACCCCCACAAACGAAGTTTAGGTGTCGACTCATGGAACTATGGTTAAAAATGAGATATTGTAATCAAACCTGGTGTAAAGCAAGCTTATATGAAGAACCCCGTTGGTATTGTATTTGGATCCCATTGGGTCAAGGTCATCGTTACTAAAAATAGAAAAACATGGTTTCGAGACAGTAACTACAGTTTGGAATGAGATATTGTAATCAAACTTGATGTATAACAATCTTATATAAAGACCCTTGTTGTTATTGCATTTGGACCACCTGGCATGCGGGTCAAGGTCACTGTAGAAAATTGATTTCGGAACAATAACTAGAGTTTGTAATCAAACTTGGTGTATAGCAAGCTTATATGAAGACACCAAGTGGTATTGCATTTGGACCCCCTGGGGTCAAGGTCACCGTTACTTAAAGTAGAAAAATGGTTTCCAGACAATACCTAGTGTTAGGTACAGACTCAATCAAACCGAGTCTGCAATTCTCTTGTAATTTTGTTGTGATTAATGCTTCCGAGGGATCACTTTTTTTCCAGATTTTTAGGAATTTTGTAATCAAACTTGGTGTATAGCGAGCTTATATGAAAACCCCGTTTTGGATTGCAATTAATTGAAATAATTCTTTGAACACAGTTGATACTTCATTTGCTATAGGTTGAGTTCAATATTTTCTTCAGACCACTTATTTTTCAAAAAGCAAAGTTGCTGGTAGGAGTATTAATCACCTTCAGTGGTAGGTCTAGTTTTACCATTGATGGTCAAGGTAATTGAAAGGTCGAGGTAAGTTGAACCTTTTATTTAGTCCTGTCCAAAAGGTTCGTTTGTCCATGTATGAAAATAACCCGTTGATTAAGTACCAAGTTACAAAGTTATAGCAAAAAAACTGCAAATTCAATAATTTAATCTTCAAGGTTAAGGTCATGCATAAGTCAAGGTCAAGGTCAATTTGAGTTTGATAGACATAAAGGTACTGGCCTAAAAGATGTTGTCTCTAAATATTTAATTAATCCAATAATAAATAATACAGTTATAGCCAGTTAAGCAAAAATCTAGAGTTTTCGTTAATTTGAAAATGTCAATTAAAGGTGAAGTTCACATCTAAATTATGCAATATGTTGTTTGGAAGAAAGTTTTCTTTTGTCCAAGTATCAATGAAATCCCTACATTAATAACAAAATTATTTTATTAAAATTCAATAATTTGACCTTGAAGGTCTAGACCATTTAAAGGTCAGTGTCAAGGTCAGTTTAACCTTTCATTAAATATCGTTCAAAAGGTGGTTTTGTCCTAGTAAGACGATAATTCATTGATTTATCACCAAGTTAGAGTCAATCATAGCACAAATCAATGAAAATTCAATAATTTAACTTTTAAGGTCAATGTCATAAATAATTCAAGGTCAATTTGACATACATGAAGGTCTTATCATAAAGATTGTTTTGTCTTAATATGAACTCAGTCCATTTTTTAATAAAAAGTTTTAACAGTAAAAATAAATGAAAATTTCAATTATTTGACCTTCAATATCTAGATCATTTATGAGTGAAGATCAAGGTCTGTCTGGTTCA